ATCTATCTAAAATAATAATTTCACTGAGCATTTCCACTTATTTAGAAGGTAGACAAGTTGTATTTTATATCGAGCCAACATCGAACCGAGTGTTTCTTACAATGAGAAATCAATTGACTTTATTCACCGCGAACATTTTGTATAACTCAGATCACGGGGTTATCGCTATCAATTAACTGTTTGTGATTTTACGGGTCGATAATAGAAATTATTACAATGACTATGTGTGGCTTGTGATTGGTGCATATCGAACGATACTATTAAATGCTAAGTTTACATAAACTGATCGTTGACTCTCATCTTATGAAAAGCTGTTGCCATTAATCAATTATATTGTTGTGTATTCGGAATCTAACTACTCAACCTTTTCCAGACAAATGGATGAGTACCACCTGGCTTTAGTATGATTATTGGAACATTGGTTGAATGTTTGTCGAAGCTAGAGGGCTCACCAATTATCGATTGATATTGTTATTATTTTATTACATTTTTGGGAGTACAAATGTAAATCATTTCTTTATTTACATTTATATTTTTTCTTATACAGTGAGCAAAGAGGATGTAACTTAATTTGTTATGAAACACTGGACAGTTATTTCAACTTTCAATCGGACGAATCCACTGAAGATCAAACTCCGGACCTCGTAGGCAGAATGGCAGCATGCTACCCACCTGACCAAAGGATAGCTGATCAGACCGTTTTTCATTTTTTTGTCTGTACAGGATATGTACAAATGGATATGAGATTTGCATTTTCTCACTAAGAGTAAATTTCCAGTTGGAAACCCTATCTGCGCTTGCCTTCGGTGCAGAATACCTCAAAGTGGTTAAAAATTTGTCTACTTGGGAAGTTGTGTCTCAGTAGTCGGTAGTGTGAGACAAGGGATTACGCACCTGAGAGAGAGAGTTAGATGCCGCACCGACGTCACAGGCGATTCAATTTGGTCTAGACCATAACTTTCTCCCACTGGAAAGAACTGATAAATGTTCGGAAGGTGTCAGCTGATGGATCGGGTAGAGTGAATTGGAACTAAGTCAGAATAAAAAGAGTTCAGCAAAACAAATCTTTTGTTTGATTCACATACTACTTACTGGATTCCGTGCTTAATCAACAGATCTGAAATAACTGTGTCCACCTGAATTGTCAGGGTGAGTCACCCAAGGAAGCAAGAGGTTCATTGTCACTTTGAGTTGAAATTACAACCATACGTGTGTACTTTACCACACGGCTAAAACACACACACTGTGCAAACACCGTGCGCATTATGTTACTTCCCAAAATTAGACCGGTGTTCCAATCATTTTGCATGCGAAAACGCAGAGTATCGTCGGGGAAAATCTAACCAGGCAGAACACACAGTCCCATGACTTTACGTAAAACAAAATATCTGTCACTAACACCTCATTATTCGGTGGATCACAATTTAATGCGTTTCTTAAATCATGAGAATTCACGTTTGTCGAATTTGAAAGTTGCATGTTGGCTGTGTCGGTATCATTAGTCAGTTGAGTTCTCATTGGAGGATTTCATCTTTCAGCAAAATGCGTTCACACATTTTTGATGACGTCTTATTTTCATTCATGAAAATCGTGTCATGAAGCTTTCTTGTTAGAATAAATCTTCTGACGAAAACTGCGATAGAAATTCGAAGCAAAGAAATTGGATGAACATATGAATTTGTTGGCGGTTTTCATGGTACTGTCATTACCTTGGGTTGTCTTACTACTTGGCTGGCAATCAGGTGAATTCACCTGTGGTTTCAGTTGCACTCTCTGTGTGAACGTTTGAATTCGGCCGCGCGGCTCGGTAAATCGTTGAACTCTGAACTGCATAATCACTCTTCACTGGATTTTATCTGGGATACACTTTGTTTCTTGCCCCATAAGCGTTTATGCGATTTTAGTCATCCTAAATTTTGTGAAATACTTTATTGCTTTCATGAAGCACCTTCAAAACTCCGGTCACTGGATTTTATCTTCTTTTGATAAGTCGGTTTTCAACAGAGTGGGTGAGAAGTATCTAAGGAAATCTGAACAAATTTCCCGGAGAACATCGAACTGGATCACAGGTCGCACTACGCAAAAGCTCCGTCTCAGACATCTGCATTTAAGCAGTCATCAGTGGAAATGTGCGCTATCTGCTTGGCAGTACGGCAGAAGTAATACATCTGATAAGGAGAAGTGAATATTCAATGGTTGGATGCGTAATGCTGCAGGAGAGCTGGCTCCACAATGAAATTGATGATAAAGTTGTCAAAATCAATAACTTTTCCATCGGTCGAGTTGATTTGCCCGTTCCGGTACACAAACGAGGCGGTGGTGTTATCACATACATATGTGACGATTGGTGCAAATCAGGGAAACGAGTTTTCGTGTATTCTACTACTTTTTCAGTACTTCTCAGTACAATTGTAGACCTAAACACCTCAGTAACCACCATAACTTTATTCTTTATGTTTTTTCTCTTTCTGATTCCGCAGATCATTTTAATGAGTTCACAGACATTTTCTCCACTGCCTTACTACATTAATCAGACTCTTCCATTTGCGTCCTGTGTGGTGACTTCAATAGGTTTGATGTCACGTTTTTGACTAACCTTGGTCTACAGAACGTTTATTAACTTTCCGACCTGACTCGAGACTTGTCTTGATTTGTGTTTCGTTAACGACCTGGATTTATTTAACTTGCGCAGGCGTCGCCACCTTGGCACCTCTGATCATGCAACAGTGAAACTATATCCCACGATCTACGGTAGATTCAATCATTAGTTCTACACTCGACACCATGATCGTCGTCTTCATCGGCGTCAATTTCAGCCCGATGACCTCGCCAGACTAAGAGATATAATAGATCAGAAAGATTTCTCTCCATTTGTACGTAATGACCGCTCTATATTTTGTATCAACCTGACTGAATATTTGAAGTTCTGTTATGATACGTGCTGCCCGTGAGAAACGTTATACGTCAGACCGTTTTTCGCCCCCTAAACTTAAACAATTACGTCGGAATAAAGAACAAGTTTTCAAAGGGAAAAAGCACTCTTTGTTAAGAGACCACCCGAAAAGAATCAAGGCGGAACCGCGGAGATTAAACGCCGCTTGGGAACATGCACTGTCGGCCAACAGGAATTGTCGTGATATATCATAAATGTTTTTTCAGTTCTGCGATCTCAAAACGAACTAGAATCTACCAGCTGCCAACGTGAACGATCTCAGTCGTCAATTCATCAGTCTGAAGTCTAATAAAGCATGCGGTCCTGATGGACTGCCGCATGTGGTGCCCAAATAAGGTGCAGTTTCCCCTTCTCCGACCTGTTGAACCTGTGCTTTACTCAGCCTTGCACTTCGGACTGCTCGAGAGTGATTTCCATCACGACAGTACCCAAAAAGGAGACGACTAGATTTTCCCTTATGACTTGTACTTCTGTTGGTTTGAAAGCCCTGGAAAAACGTTTACCACAGAAGATGTTGTCCCAGCTGAATGCATCTGATCCTACTCAACAAAACGGAAGCAAGAACATTACCATTGAAGAACTTAGTAATGCTTAAGTCATCTGGAAACAATCAATACCGTGTGATTGAGAGATTTTGTGTGAATTTCATCCGCCAATAGCCAATCCACCATATTATCGAAATGACTCCTCAAATACACTTATGTAAGAAGTAGCCGGATACGGAACGTTTACAACTGAGTCAAAACCTCGTGGGCTGATGCTGAAATAGGCAAAGTGTATTGCCCGTAATAGGCTTGAAATGATGAGTTGTGCTATACTGCGTGTAGGAAAAATAATAAACGTTGTGATCAGCTGCCCCATGATCAAACAGTTGGTTTGCCTGTGGTTTATTCATGATATCCCGAGTTCGATTACCAGTTGGGTCAATGGATCTTCGTTGCGGTTGAAACATGTGTGCAGTGCTTATTATCTATTCAGTTCACGTTTCTCTAAACGACTAAATTCAACGCATAATCCGCTCAAATCCTGCCTGAACTTGTCTTAGGAAAATTCATATGTCTGTAACGTGAAGCATCCCCAACACATGTATTCACAAATCAATCACGTCATTTTGGTTCGTTTTATTCCAAAATCTGCTCCCGTGTACACACTGGCCGTCCCGCGCAAGCTCATTAAGGTCGTGGGCATTTCAACAGTACACTTCAAAACACAACGGACTCAATGACTCCCACTTAGTCGGAGTGACTACAAGCATCTGAACAGTGTGAAATACAATTGTTGGAGAAAAATTTGGAGCTTCCGATTATAATAACATTTAATAACATCTAATTGCCCGCCAAAACTCGAGAATAACTCACCTGAGTTGCTTCAGGTTGAAATGCATTGAAAACATCGTATGGGAGACAGGATAGCAAATCGACAATGAACCATCCTTTCAAATAATTGATGCGAATAATTGTGGCGTCGGAGATCACTTCACCGTTCGGTCCGACAAAAGTTGTATGGAAGTTTAATACTATATCAATAAAAAAGATCACATCCACAATACTGTCGACCACCAAGAAACTGACATCATCCATTGTCTTGCTCTTGAATGCTGCATTGAACGGAACCATAACTGCGGTGTAGCCGGTCAGAAAGAGGATAATCCAGTCCCAGGTGGTTTTGAAGGCCACATAATGAAGTATGATGTGAGGAGGAGTTTTGGGGGCTTCTTGTTTGTACGGAGGTACCAGGTCGAGCCAAGTGGACGTATTCTGTCGCGATGGGAAACAAACGAGTAATAAATATGTACTTATTAAAGGCGGTTGCAGTGGAAATTCAACAATGAGGCTGCCACTGTGATTATTATTAATATGATTATTATTATTATTGTTATTGATGTTGTTTTTTGTTGCTGTACATGATGATGAATCCCTACGGTTATCAATGAACCAGTCCTCTGAGCCTAATTCATTACAATATCATTAACCTTTCTGTGTCACTGACAAAGACCTGTTTGCAATCATCTGGTGAATTTCATCGTGTACAGAGCAAATGAAGGCTGAACTGACAAGTTAAGTATAGCTTACACCTTTTCCCACCTGGTTATTTCTAATCGGCATTGTGAATCCATCCACCCAACTGCGGATCATGAACCCGGGACCTCACAATTGAAACGTAGGCATACTACCCGGTTGACTATTAGATAGTTGACTAGACCGTTCTTATTTTTCCCTACACATGATATAGCGAAATCCATCCTTGCAAGCTTGTTGCACGGATCACAACTCGTTCAACTCAGCACAGGCCTCCGGGGTTATGACTCGGTTGAAAACATTCGGGACCAGACTACTTGGTAAGCTACTTGCGAGCTATTCCACCACGTATTCGTCATTCTAGCTCTGCATTGTTCTGAGCCACTGTGTTGTGATCCAAAGTCTGGGGTACTATTGATAACGTTTCAATCGGGGTTTGAACCCTGAAGCACGCCACCTAGTCATCCGGTATTCAATTTAACTTGTACCTGGAATGAAAATAGTTGAATATAAGTAAACCACCCACCGCATACTGCCCCACTCCCGTGCTTCTTGCACTCATTTTGACGTTAGGCACATATTCCAACTTCTCAGCTTCTTCTTCACATGGTGAGCTTATCTATTTTACCGGTCACACTACTGAATACCCCCATGGAAACCAGATTTTACCCAATACTTCCACATTGTGACATTATAATTATTATATGCAATTAGTGTCAGGTGTGGTACAATGACCGTTTTTGACTGCAAACTTAATCGCTGACCTGCATTCATTTGGTCGGATAAACCAAATTGTTTTTTATTCAACTTAATTACTATTTATCGATAGCCATTTGCAATTCGTATTGCGTGAGATCAACCAAACGTGAAATGTTTGGTCGTACGAATTCTGAATTATAACAATAATAATAATATCAATAACAATAATAAATATTGTTACTGCAAACAGATTTTCTACGTGATGAAGTTGAAAAAGGAAGCATAATACAGTTTAACATAACTATACGGCCAGAAATTGCGGAATAAGAGGGCGAGAAAGACTGCGACCAAGACCACTCATTGTTTTCTGAAGTCAGACTTTTATGGGTTCGATAATTGCCTTTCCGGTCTGCTGATGTAAATGGCCAAGCATCCACGCTTAAAGTGATAGATACAATTAGGTTTGAAGTGGGGAGACCGCGGGTTTTTCCCAGAGGCTGTTGGCAATCGGGCGGTGGTTAAAACAACGGTAGGTTCCGTTGCATAGTAGGTGCGCGTAAGGATCGGTTTTAAGAGCTTGGCAATCCGCCAGCTGATATTATCTGCAACACAAATAACACTAGGGTTCTGAAATATGTCCAGGCACCAGTCATTCAAAATTAACATTCTCAGCTCCGTAAACAGTGTGACTGGCTTATAATTCTGACGCAAACCTGAATAAAAACATGTATTTCGTGGGTGATCTTTGTCGACGTCATCTTCAGCCTATAATTCTGCGATTGTGGGTTCTATACTATTGATCACATCAACTGCAGTATGCACGAGATGATGATCTACGATAAATTTTGCAAACCTGTGTAATTTGGTTTCTCTATTCAAAGATAACCATCGGTATTAGTGTAATTATGCTTTACAGAGACATGGAAAAATGAACATTGTGATTAGAAAACAGAAAGAAATCATGTCCATGAACGTAAAGCAGTCATTCTCATGGTAATGAGGATCGGCTCTTTAAATGACACCTGAAAAATCCAGGAAAATCTGTGTTTGCAAGGCGTAAGAAAGATTCCTTTCCGGTCACTGGGTTTTGGTGGTAATTCAACAAATGTTGATGGAATTTGTCACGATGGATTACCCTCTGGAATGCTCTGATTGGAAAATAGGAACTGAGACAAGCGTATTCCCAAGTTCCAAAGGATACTTTCTTTGAACAATATGTGACGCAGTGTTTGATTCACCTACCGTGAGTGTTTAATGTATTCGTTTATCTATTTGTTGGTCGTCTCAGACACGTAAAACTACGCTGTTTTCTATCTGTCCGTTTGACAGTCAAATCACTGATTCATCTACTCCCCTTCCACCGGCCGTTAACAGATGAAATGCGCGATCAACAGGGAATATCACATCTGGAATGAAAGTGCCCAACCAATGTTTGACCCATTCGACTAGCTTCAAGGGAACTTTACACGAGATTTTCTCTCAGCAAGCCATTATACTCCGATCACATTTGATGTAATTTGAAAGCATCGTGTAAACCGGCCCCAATTGGCTAGCCTCCACTGCCACAGAATTTGCTTGCTGTCTGTGCTCCAATTTTGAGATAAAATTCATCGAGGAAAAAGGTTTGCATTTCAAAGGCCAAATCCCTAATGTGCTATAATAACGAAGAGTTTATAGACTTTAGAAAAGCGATGGAAAGAAGATCAGTTCACTCACGGTTGTTGGCAGACAAACCTTCCCAACATGGGTTTCGGAACAACAACAACAACAACAACAAAAGCGGTTGCACGACGAAAGAAGTGTGCTTGCCGAACTCTCAGGGGCGACTGTTTCTGCCCATGAATGATATTTTCCACCCGGGAAGTGTTTCAACCACAGCACTAAATGCAGCGGTCATTTGGATTTTTGTTTACTGCAATCGGGCGAATGGGAACATGCGTGCGGACAATTCAGTTCACCGGATGTGGGCACTCACACTGCTGACCTGTTCACTCATTACACGTGTCCGCATCTTCCCCACGGTCACATGATCCAAACACATGCCGATTCGGAACCACAATTTAACAAAGTCATATGACAGAAGGGTTTATTCTAATAGTATATGGTGAAAGCCTTCATTTAAAATAGGGAGATGGTTTATTGTGCGAGACTGTGAGTGAAATCAAGTGAAACAATTTAGCAGAAAATTGCATAGGCCTCATAAGTCCTGTCAAGAGTCCTCACATACCCCAAGGGATGCGTAGGGCTGTTAACCCTCCTACCCCAGAAAAAATGGTGAAAATAAACGAGTGCTTGCAAAACCCACTGACCTTGTTATTGATGATTGATGAATAGCGCTTGTGCATAACACTTCCTGTCAGATTCCGGATTTTGTGAACTTCGTAGTCGCTACATTAATCGGGGTGAGTTGTGTTTCATTCGTGGACTGTTTGTAATACCAATCCGTTCATTCGCTTCATCAGCAGACCCCAGCTATTCTCACTGGGATTCGAATTTGGGATGTGGGTTGCTCAGCACATGGTCTTGATTTTTCGGTGCGGGAACCGCATTCTACTGCGGCGGGTTCTTTGTATAGGGTTATTAGTATGCTGCAAGGTCGTGGATTCAAAGAGATTTTCTGGAATCAGGGCGGAATGAACTCGTTCACTGTTCTGATTGACGATTTACCTGTCTGATTTCCTTCGGACGGGAATTGTCAACTGATTCTTTCTTTGCACAACATTGACACCTCAGGCCATGACAAAGTCCCACGATAGGCTCTACGGCTGAACACCAACTTTATTTTGTCCCGGTAGTGTCAATAGTATATCAGAACCGTCCAGGATGAACTTGTTCCCGCAGATGAATAGCACACGGTTCCACTCAAAATTGCAGTTGATGTGAATCCAGACCCACGCAGCTTAATCATCAATAAGACGGTCGGTAATCCATAGTACTGAGTTTATCTGCTTGTATTGTAAATATATTATAGTCTGTAACTATATAGTCTGTAATGCTGTATTTGTCGCACACTCACTCCCAAGTGTAATGATCATTGTTACTGTAAGGCACGTGTCGCCTGATATGAAACAGCCCGTAATTACTGCCTCGTGCTTTAATCGGCAATACTTCATTGAATTCCACGTTTATTCTCCAACGTATACCAACAGAGGTCAGTCAAAAGAACTCCCGTGGAACACAGAACAGAGACCAGTCTTGATGAACCTTAAAGGTGAGGTACTGAAAATTCCATAACTGCGAAACTGTGGCGATCCAAACATACGTGATCGCAATCCAAGTACGGCCAGGTACAGCTTCATGTCATCCCATCACAGTTCGGGAAGCTCGACCAATGGTACACCGGGCGAACATGACATCCGAGTTAGTATATGTGATGCGTCTGCGTAAACGGTTACGTGATTGGGCGACGGTCCTTCAACCAATGATATGATCTATTGCTTTCTATAAAACATGCTCTAATTTGATCTATAAACATAAGTATTTGCCGCTACCAATTCCTCGTGGATTTCATTGGTGTTCGTAGTTCGGGTTGGAACCAATCCATTTCTGAAAATTACAGTGAGGCTTATCGTATTCCGATATTTAATACTATTCTGATTACCACAGAAACCCATCGTTGTGGAAGCGAATTTATCAGGTTTTTCTGTCTAGCCTTGGCAGCAGTACGTCCCGCAAATCGGGTGCTGTCATTGATCACACATATGACTGTACTAAAACATTTTTGTGCCACTGTATTGATATTAAGTAGGCTGCTCATATTTAGTTTGGCTGTTGTAATTGTAAGCACGGTTCTAAAAGATTGGAGTGAGTTCTTTATGATTTCATATGTTTTGGTCGATGGTTTGTTTCTGGGAGTCTTCTTCTGGATTACTTTCTGTCGAACTAGGATCGGGCAGGTGCTTATAGAAAACGAGAGAATGATAATCTCGACCACCGCCTCTCAACCACAGTTAGTACAGAGAACCTTTTAGTTTCTACAGCTGGTCTCCCACGAATGTAGTGGTATTTATTCCCAAGTTCATTAGTTTTTTTATTGGATTGTTAGTACAAAAATGTTGAAGGCACTGAATAGTCACAAAATTAACCAGATTCTGATTTGTTTGAGACTAATAAATAAATTGTAAAGTTTGTTAAATTTTGCCCAGATTCACCGATGCAGCCATATGAACGTGGTACATTTATTTTCCCTCTCGAAATGAACGGAGATAGTAGGTCTTAAGAAAATTAGACATTTGGTGAATCATGCTCCATTAACGATAAAAGCGACCTCCCTGATCATTATGATTATTAGAAAACCACTTGGAATTATGGTGCAGTACTCGACTGCCATTTCATTTTCGTCTTATCCGGGGTATGCAACATTGTGGGTTCTATATGTATATATAAACTCAAAGTAGTTAATTAAATGAAATAGAAAGACGAATAAAAAAATGTTCATAAACCGAAAAAAGCAAGTGTACACCCGTGTGTGGGTTTTTCTCCCCATAATAGCGAGGTAAATGCATTTTTCATTAAGCTGGTTTACAAATCCGGACGAACTTGAACAAGTTAAGTTAGGGTCTCTGAGACACTTGATCGCAAAGAGGAGTAAATGGACATTGACGGGGACGAGAACGATGAGAAGAGGAAAAAGACCACTTTCCGGAATTGATGAGAACGTGAATTTGTCTACCCGCAAAACTACAATGACAACTGACGAGTGTCAACGCCGAAGAATTTACTCTAAGTAAGGAACTCGTCCTTTCTGACGGAACGGTGAGCGCAGACCTGGGGGGAGAAGGAAATGCGGAAAGGACAAATACACTCGAGTTTACTGGTACTTAATCAAGTGGATGCGCTTCACATGCACTTGGAAAGGTTGTTTCATTCGACGAACTCTAGGTCTGTGCGAACTCCTTCTCCCTCAGGTACTCCCCCTCTCTAGCGTAGACATCAATAATCCATACAGAGCACTGTCTCACTTCTCAACTTCCCGTGATACATGTACAAATTTGTTGAACGCGCAGCGTTCATT